TTATTGCTATATCAGCCACGTTTTTTATATTTTGGTTGAGAAATGTGAATTTCTTATTGCTATATCAGCCACGTTTTTTATATTTTGGTTGAGAAATGTGAGTTTCTTATTGATATATCAGCCACGTTTTTTATATTTTGGTTGAGAAATGTGAATTTATTATTGATATATCAGCCACGTTTTTTATATTTTGGTTGAGAAATGTGAATTTATTATTGATATATCAGCCACATTTTTTATATTTTGGTTGAGAAATGTGAGTTTCTTATTGTTTTTTCGTAGTATCAGTAAAATGATTTGACCTTTTTTTTTTCAGCAAGTCCTCAACGATTGTATTGTTATTCCTAGTGGTGGTCCGTGCACATAATTCACGATACAAGCGTCAATCGTCTCAAGAGGGAGAATTGTCGGACAGTATTTCAAACCTGCAGCATGCAGACTCTCACTATCAGTTTCCCTTACCACCTCAGGCCAAACCACGTAACTTGCAATTGTCACCTGGTGTCCAAAGTAATGTGAAAGCTAATGTCAAAACCATATCACAGAACAAATACAATCAACCACCACATCAACTCAATGATCGACTACAATATCAACCTCCTATCTATCCTCAGCAGACCAGCACTCAAACTCACATAAAATTGCAAGCATCACCACAACAACATCAATATGCTCCTGAATTTCAACCACAGCCATACCATTCAAACAACTACACTCAGGCTTTCAGTTTTAAGCAAGTAGGCAAAACACAAGGAGTCAGCACTAATGATCAATCGACAATTATGCATGTACCTAAGAAAACATCTTCTAAGAGACAGCATGATACCATTTCAACTTCCCACTCCACTGAAGTGGTCCTTCATGAAAAAATTGTATCTATGCAGCAACCTGTCCAATCTGTGATCCAGAAACTGCCAGCCTCGGAGATTGAATCGAACAAGGGTATTACTGCTAAGGATAAAGACAGCAACCAAGATCAGTACTTAATTTACTATTATTATTATGATGATGATAATAAGACCAACGTAAATAATCCAACTCTTAATTTTGACGATATTTCCGATCTTGAGGCATATGATCAAAAACAAGAAAATAACCAACCAGAAAAAAGTAACAGAAGAATTAATAGCCCACAAAACACCAACAAAGCTTTGAAGAACCATAGCGGTTCCTCAACGCTGCAACCAGTAACCATACTGTCTCAAGCCACTGGTCGGGTAGAAATAATTGATGCATCAGTAACAAGAGCCCCAAAAGCTGACATGGCCAATGTTTCTGAGGACTCACTTGTTTCTAACATTTACCGATATGGAAACAATGTTCCCAGGTTTCCAGCAACACCCAATCTGGTAGACCATCCAATTAAAAATCAACCAGAAATATCCAATAGAGGAATTCCATATGATCGCAAATCTTCCAGTGATGTGATACTTCAACCTGATGGTGATGTTAACTCTGGTGTTCCAATAAGTACTCTATCATATACACCAACTCTATTGGCAAATGTTGAACCAAGCAGTAAGAGGAAACTTGAAGACATTAATGAGATAGTTGAAACTAAAACTGAGCCAGAAACTACAGAAACACCGACTACTACAACTACTGAACCTACAACTACAACTGAAGAACCCACCACGACAGAAAAACGTAGGCAACGAACATTTGGTTTTCGTCAAAGATCTGGTTTAAGAAAACGACGACCGGGATCCTTGCGCCAAAGGCGACCATCGTCAACAACAACAACTACTGATTCTACAACAACCCATGAATCCTCAACTAAAAGGGTTAGATCACGATTTGGAAGTAGATCTTTTCGTAGGAGTCACTTACGATCTTCTTTTCGAAGAAATCGTTTTGGTCATTCCAATGATGATGATGAAGAAGACAAGGAAGAAGATGAGGTGCAAAAAGATGAAACAACAACTGAATCTTCTCGTGGTAGGAAACGCCAACGATATATAGGATCTAGACGTTATGGACGTAGAAGAACTTCAAGTCGTATTTCCACAGAAAATACTGAAGACACTTCTACCACAGATGAGGTGGCGAAAATAGAAACAACAACTGAATCTTCTCGTGGTAGCAAACGCCGACGATATAGAGGATCTAGACGTTACGGACGTAGAAGAACTTCAAGTCGTACTTCTACAGAAAATACTGAAGAATCTTCTACCACAGAATCTTCTCGTTCTAGGCCTAGTATCTTTAATCGTAGAAAAACCCCAAGCAGGCCTCGTCTGCCATTCATTCGTGGTGGCCGTAAAAGATTTGGACATCATGACGAGGAAGAGAAAGAAGAAGCTACTAGCTCATCTTCAGCAACTGAAAATACGTCTGAGACCACCATTAGTATCCCAGCTTCTACAGAATTTGCAGATGAAAAATTCAACGATAAAATAGATACTGTGGAAGAACAACAAACTACCACTACCGAAAAGAATCGTTTTGCTGGACTTTTTAAACGTAGGAAAAGACCAACTTTATTTGGATAACGTTGAAGCTTCTCAAACAGATCACTTCAAAAAAACTACAACACAATAGTGAAAATATATAAAAAAAGACTTACATGTCTATATGAACCAGGCATCTGGAGCTTCATTTTTATTATGTTAGTTTTTAATTGTAAACTATCCATTACAAAATAGCTTTAATTATCTGTGTATCTATCAGAGATTTACGTTCCTGATGATTGTTTTGAGGGACTATTCAAGTGACTTAATATTAACAAGAAGCTTAAGTGACAGGAATTTTTGGTCGCGTAGTTAAAACAGGCATTAGGATGCCCAAGCAATGTCCCTGAAATACAATATAATAAGACAACTCTCCATTAAACTTTTATATACTTTCTGATCTCGTGAAATTTAATTTTCTTGGTTTTTGGATTTCTTTTATACAAAATAAGAACTATAAATATAAATCCTTATAGTTTCGATAAAAATTATGAATTACGAAGACTTTGGAATTTTGCGAATAAAAACCAAAAGTCGCCTCTTCATATTTAAAGTACCGAGTCATCTATAATTACTTTGTAATCCAATTTGATTTGTAATTGAATTGATCATATAATTAGATAAAAAAATATGTTGACAGATGAGGAAAATATTGAATGTCTCTTATCGATTATGCAACATAATGATAGGCTTATTTGTCTATTCAGTTAAACATTCACGAAAAGATGATAGTGTGGAAGGACACAAGTTGACCTTAGAATCTGTATATTGTTAAAGTGATGATTGAGATAGCTTAATGTTGTCTACACCATGGTGCAAACAAAGACAATTCTAACAGAATTAGTTACATCATAAAAACAAAATTGAAACCTTGTAATATCGCAAGCAAATATTGTTGAGAATTATTTTTCTAATCATTTTGCACTTCATTACGGAAATCTCAAACTTTCTATTGATGAATATGAAAAAAATATGAAATGTCTCCAAATTGATCAGCGGTAACTTTTCTGACTTACAACGCTAAAATCCATGGTTCGATTACCCGTGGTGAACAGAGAGCAGATAACATATTGTTACGTCTCCGTTCGTTAGTTAATTTTCCGTAAAAATTATTTCCGAAGAAACTTTACCGATAGAAGTCCTTTCTTAAATAAAACTGGTTTATTCTTTCTGAATATAACTTTGCGATACACTTAATTTCAACAGTCGCGCTATAAAAAACGCTATAATTCTCAACGAACATCTCACATGCTCGACTCAACAATACTCAGTTCAATTACACACCCCTGTTCCGTCACGTTGTGACCGTCTTATATATA